AGTGGCAACATGCAGCAGAATTTGTGTCCTAGTACTGAAAGATTTCTGTACAAGAGCCCTGATACATCCTGGCAGGCTTGGTAGATTCACTTCCCACTCACAGGGGATTTTCATAATTTCCATGGAGCGTGGACAGCGGGAACTGTATGGTTCTTGCATCCTTTGTTGTGTTTTCATTTACCTTTGGGTTTGGCACATGGCAGGACCCATGGATATGGTATGTTGGGTTTAGCATCTATAGTTGTTCTAGAAAAAGAAAAAAAAGACCACCTTGTGATTTTGGTTCTGTTGGTCGTTTGGCATCTTCTTTACATTTACTTATTTATTTTTCATGCATAAGTGTGTGCATTTGTATAGCTTTTGTATCCTATGCATACATTTGTTTTTGTGGACACACAAATACCACGACATGTATGCATGTGGAGTCCTGGGACAGCTTGCAGGAGTCAGTTCTATCCTTCTCCCACGTGGTCCCAAGAATTGAACTCAGATGGTCAGGCTTGGGGGCAAGTGCTTTTGTCTGCTGAGCCATCCCACCAGCCTGGTTCTATGGCTTCTGATTAACATGATGAATGAAACACAGGTTCTTAAAGCCAGAGCTCAGAACCTTCCATGGAGCATGCTTGCCTTCTTTCTCCAGCTCCATCTTAGAGAATAAGCTGCCTCATGCTCTCTAAGTCTTCTCTCTCTGGATCTTCTTGGGTCTAGTATGAGAGGATAGTATGCCGTGTATGTCCTGGTCCTATCTGGCATGAGCTAACTCGATTCCAGCTACTCCGTTCTCTGTGTCAGCACGAGGTTCAAAAAGTAAGGTTGCCTTCTTGCCATGGAGATGTTTTCTAGTCCTAGCTTTAGGCTCATGGTCTCTAGACAGTATCTGTGTGTCACTGGAATGGTGGGAGGAAGCAGGAACTTACTTGGATCCCGCCATGCACCTGGTGTTCCTCTGGCCTCCCTTGGGAGATGTTCTGGACCCCATCTCAACTCTATCCATGCTCAGTGAAAAGGCTAGTCGCACTCAGGCCCCCTTAATCATATAAGGCAGAGAGCCTTCCAAACAGTTGGTTTTCTGTCGTCATTCAGAAGCTGGAGGGACATCTCTGCTGCGCTGCACATGCCCTGGCCTGGCTGGCCTCACTTAGGTAAAATGACTCTGCATAGACCAGTGACCTGTCCAAAGGCACAGTGAATTTCAAGGAGACCCAGGCATTCTCAGACTTCCCGGGAATAACAGAAAACTTGCCAAGAGTCCTGCTGACATTTTAATCTCCATACTGACATCTGCAGAATCCTTAAGCAGACTGGGGAGAGCCACAAAGCTCCATTTAGAAACAACCGATCTGGGCAGTGCAGGGAGGTTTCCTGGATGGAAGAAACAACCAGCCGTCATAGTTGTGACTATGTGGCCAGCTGCTCCTTGGGCCGTCTTTGTCCAGTGTCTGCTTTGTGCTGGGCTCTGGGAGCACCAAGTTGAAGAAAACAGCATCGTTTGAGAGAAGGGTGAATGCAGTGGGAAGCAGACACCTGATATGAACTTCAGTGGAACGATGCCTATGATTGCAGGACAGTGAGGGGCAATCCTACATAGGTCCATTAGCATTTGTGTGGCGTTTTATACCACACAAAACATCTTTGATCTAGCCCACTTGATCATTAGCACAAGGTCCTGTAATAGCCATATTTTCTCACAAAAGCCCTGTTGACGTACCATACTGTCCATCCACCTGAAGTGTACAGCATTCCGATGCATTCAGAGAGCCATGCTGCCATTGCCACAGTCCATATCAAACCATTTTCATTACTCCAATAAAATAACAGCTAGAAGAATGTTTTTGAGGATCAGTTACACCAAATGAGCCGAGTGAGTGCTCCCAGATCCTGCAATGTGGGAGGTCCAAGGTGTGAAGACAATTGTGTGGCTGTCTCTGGTGACCCAGCTTCTCTGTGAAAGGAGCTGGAGTCCAGACTGTGTGACCCCAGGTCCCCCGCTTCCCCTCCATACAGCTCCCCACCCGTGAGAAACAACCCCGCGTCTGTGGTGTCCCTTCCTACACTTGAACTCCTGTCTAGTCCTGTCCCTTCTTCTCTTCTGCTGCACCACAAAGACTGTGGGGAGCAAGGCCATGTGCCCCGTTGCCCTGCCTTTGTTCACTTGGTACCCTCTTGGGCTGCAAGCTAGTGGCCCTGCCCCAATGGGAAAGCTGCTTCCTTGGTACTCATGTATGTGGGAATGTGAGGTAGTGGCTTGTGCTTCTCTCGCCAGAGATGCCCCTACCTCCTTGTCCTCATGCTTCCCGGGGGGGGCGGGGGGGTTGCGGGATCAGCATCAGATGCCAGCCACGGGAGACACAGAGTAGGTTTTCCCTTTGATACAGAATAGCTGTGTGCAAATTTTAGATAAGTGTTGACCAGTGTCTAGGGGAGTATTCTGGAGCTCTGTGCTGGCGACTTCCACATTTACTGAATGGAGCTAGCACTGAATAGTGAATCTACAAAAATGGCCCCCAATAACGACCAAGATCAGGTCATGAGGGTTGGGTGCAGACAGGCAGGGACTTCTCAGGCCTTCAGGGTGTGTAGAGTTGGCACAAGCTTGATACTGCTCAAAGTCATCCAAGTTACTCAGTGAGGACAAGACAATAATAATACAGACAGCTGGCAAGACACCTTAACAATAGTAATTCTTTTTTTTTTAAATGAGAAATATATGAGAGTTTGAAAAACGGGAGTATTAAGACTCTTATACCACATTTTGCAAACTTGTAAAAAATGGTTCTAGGGACCAATACCAAGATCTTGTTCATGCTAGGTAAATGCTGGGCCAATGAGATACACACATTTCTTTGTTTGTTTGGTGTTTGTATGATGCGTACATGGGTCCAGGTGCATACCCCACACACCTGTGGAGGTGAGGACCCCTTTTGGAAGTTAGTTTTTTCCTCCCACCATGGGATCCATGACTCAAACTCAGGCCATCATATTTATGTAGCAAATGCTTCTTTAAGATTATTTTTTAGTGCTTTTACCTGGTCACCATACTACTACCATCATCCCCACATTTTTTTAAAAGATAGTCTCACTACATAGCCTGGGCTGTCCTTGAACTTGCTCTGTAGTCCAAGCTAGGCTTGAAGTCACAGTCACCCTGCTTCAGCCTTCTGAGAGCATACCCTAGCTATGTGGACTAATTTTTAATGGTGTAAGTATGTTCATAGAATTCTCTGGTAAGAGACTGTGATGACTTCCATGCACGTGTGTTGTGGATACAGTGACTCCTCTGACTTACCTAGATGTGCAGAAAAAAAATTTTAATCACATTAAAATATCAATACTTCAGAAAGAGATTATGGAACTAAAGTATAGCTTTTAGGATCTTACATTCTTAGTCTTTACTTTCCCTTTTTTTGCACTTGTCTGTTTTCTAAGATTTCATGATAGACTGCTTAGGAAAAACCCCACAAAAGTGTATTTCACTTTAGGGGGTGTTCTTGCTATCTGCATGGACTGTGTTTACCCAGTGGTGCCTCAAGCCCCTGGGTCACCAGTCTTTCGGGTCAAGCTCTGAGCCTAGTGCCGTGAATGTATTGACTCTTCAGCCCTTTCTGGAGCCAGCATAGGTCTTGAGACTAGATCATTGGGTGTGATGTACATCTGGAAAAGCTACAAAGGTGATCATGGTTTTGCTGACAAACATGGCCACTCAGAGTCTAACAATACCATCAGCATCCACTTTTCCCCGTCAGCTGGTTCAGCTGGTTCATTCTGAGTCGTGTTTGGGTTGGAGCCACAGCTTAGGAGTCCTCATGAAGACTCCTTCCTCTCTACCTTCCTATTAACATCCACATAGCGTACCTTTATTGAGCACCTGTTATAGGCTTGATTAGGCCAAGAGGTGACGTTTTAGACATCAGGTAACCAACTCCTGCTCCACGGTAGGGACAGATGACAGATCAGAGTAACAGCCAGAGTACAGAGACAATGGGGAAGACTGTTGACTTGTAGTGTCGGGGGAGGTTTTTCATCTGCTCCTTCATCCATCTTGCCAATTACTTACCGAGTCATTACTGTGTCCTGGACGTTATCCTATACCTGGGGAGCCTGGTCACCAAGACCGAGTGCAGCTCTGCCCCTATGGAGCTCAATTTTAGTAGAATTGAGATACAGTTAACTAACTCAGAGATAAATCTTTAAGCTCATGATAAATGCCCTGCCAGAAATAAATGGAATGCTGCAGGAGAGAATAATAGAGGATAGGCTGCTGTGGCTGGGGTGAGCTGGGGAGGGGCTTTCCAGCTCCTGCTTCAGGAATGAGGAAGGCTCAGCCATGCCCTGCCTCAGAACATTCTAAAGCTAAAGACTTAAGGCAGAGAGGCTCCTGCATTCTAGAAATGCGTAGAAGGTCAAAGGGCCCAGAAAGCAGTGAGAGTGTCCTGTTGAGGAGAGGTGGCTTTGATCAGAGAGCGGAACAGAGGACCCCCAGGTCTGTGGCTGGGAAGCTACACCGGGAGGGTAGGGGTTGTGGCAACTGTGGCCAGGGTGTGTGGGTCAGCTCCTGAGCCCGTTTGGCTGCACTGTGGAGTCACGTCAGGCAGAGTGTAGAGTGCAGAGCAAGGTCCCCAGGGCCCAGTCATGCCAGCATGCTCTGTGAATATCCAGAAAGGAGCCTAAGTCATGACCCAGAGCACTGTATGAACAGCATTCGGGGTCCATTCTGCCACACCCCATTATAGAATGGAAACCCGTAGTCTGGGGCGATGCAAGACTTCTCCGAAGTCTAAACCTATGGCTGCACCTCTTTTGGAAATGTGTGTCGAGCCAGCTCTGCAGTCAGGGCCACCTTGGGAGTCATTATTTCATTTTCGGGGAATGAATCTGTTAGGAATTACCAGCGATAATGGTTCATCCGACTGTCTCATGCTGGCATGTGCTGACTCTCCAGCAGCTCTGGGAAGAAATTGCCCTAACTGATTAATTCTCCGTTGTTTTCTTTCTTCTCTCAGAATGGCTATTCAAGTGGACAAGTTCAACTTTGAAAGTGTCCCAGAATCCCCCGGAGAGAAGGGACACTTTGCAAATCTGAAGCAGCTGGAAGAAGAGAGGCAGGAGGCACGGGGCTTGGAGATCAGCAGCAAGCTGGACATCCGCTGGAGAATCCTATCCTTTTCAGTGTCCTGGGGCACGCAGATCCTGACTAGGGATTCTGAGCACCCGCAGGGAGCCCAGGGGTGCTTAATAAGTACTGAGTTTCAACTACAGACAGCTCCAAATGCCATGGCAGGATATGGACCACAGGGCTGGCATTTTCTCAGCCTCGTCACACTTCGGAGGCCCCACTTAATGAAGTATTGATCCTGAGTGGATAAAGGTCGTGTCGGGGCCAGTGGTAGTCCTGACTTTGGATCTCACGTTTCTTTTGAGTGTTGATATTCACGATAGTGACAGGTCCTCATGGCTGCCAATCAGTACAGGGCTTGAGCCATCCTCTGACTGACAGTGGAGGGTGTGGAGACAGTTGTCTGGGAGCCAAAATGGAGTTGTACAGTTTAGCAAGATGTAGAGAAACTTTGTAGAAGCAGTGAGAGACTTTTCTGTGAATTGTGTTGTGAAAAAGGAAAGTTGTATAAAAATGCCTGCACCCACACAGGCGTGTGATCAGAGTTCAGCTGTATGGGTGGAGGGACCCTGAGTGCAACTGTGTGCCAGTCCCTGCAGAACACCCACACAGTGTGTCTTAGCAATGGGTGGAAGTTTATCAAAGGGCCAGATGTGAGAAATGTCCCACGAGCAGCACAGCAGGAGAGTGTGGCTTATTCGGAGTGTCTGCCAGGAAAAGGCACTTCTAAGGTGGGGTTCTTCCCATCTTCTCCTTGGTGTGTGGACTCTGTGGCTGTGGGTATGGTCCGACTGTGCATCTGGATGACGACGTCCCAGAAGATTTCAGCATCATGCTTTGTGTGTGCCAGAGACTGTGCTCGATTCTAGGGACAGTGTGATGAGTGCTGTCAGACCCAGAGCCTAGGACAGACTGGGATCTCCAGCACACAGGTTATGGAGACTGTGGCAGTGCCTGGTGGAGCTTTCCCTTCAGCCATGCAGCCAGCAGTTGCCCCACCGTAGGTGCCGAAATGGCCAAATGAAGGGATTTTAGAATAGTCGCAAGCTTAGTCTGAATTAAACCTGGCCTCCTTCTCCAGAGCCAGTCTATAGAGACCATCTCTGGCTGAAGCAGGCAGAGGACAAGCCTGGAGTACGCACTCCATCATCCCTTGTTTCCCACTGCCTTCTGTGTGCTGAAAATCCCCCATCATAGAACCTTTCTCAAGGGTGGGGTCTCACATTTTAGAGGCTACCCTTCTGAGCAGGGTGGCCAAGGGTAGCTGGTGCCCCACCTGGATGGCACCGAGAGTATCTGTGCTGGTCTGGCAGACACTCGACACCCCTGTGCAAACCGACAGGCTCACCAGATTTCCTTGGGGTTTCACAGCCCTGGAAGAATTTTAGGCACAGAGCCTTGTCTGGGCTTGATTGATCTCAGGCAGAACAACCCACCCAAGGCTGTGCTGTGCTTTATCCCGCCCTCTGGGACTGCTGCTTCCCATAGAGAGAGGTACCTAGCCCTGCCCCCTGGATGCTGGGGTAGGGATGAAGCTGCTCCACTGAACGGCTCAGGCTCTTCTTCAGTCTTTCTAATTGGCTTCTCCAGAAGGCTTCTCAATGGAACTCTGTCTTCTCATCTTCTGGAAAACACTAAACCTCTATAAATATGACTCTTTTAAGACCCAGTATGCTACATTTTTTTTTAATAGTCAGTCATGCTTGGAGAAATAGTTTTATCTAAATGAATTCTAATACAAACAGCCCTGTCATCAGTATAGTTGATGCCTTGATCATCATAAGTGAAATGCAGGGAATCATTTGGTATCTGCCTCCAGGGAATTCAGCTATCAGAGCTGTTTGTAATAACTTGGTTCAGGGGTCTTTCATCTTGCACAGCACAGCACAGCAGAGTCTTGGCAGGTGGAGAGAAGCCTGGCTGGATATTCAGTCAAATCACTCCCACTCTTGGACCCTTGATGGGCAGAGTAGTGAGGTTGCATGGACAGATTGGGTTGGTAGCCCCACCCATACAAATATGATGGCTACATGTGCCTTAGAATTACTTGGAAAGGAATCAGGGTCAATACACGGACAGTGTAGATTTCAGATTTGGCCAGCTGGAGAGTAGATGAAAGGACATTCCATGTACATCATGACAAGCCTCTGTGTGTGCACATGAACTGGTATGCGCTGTGTTTATGTGACTGGATATGTGTTGAACATGCATACAGTTCTTGTACTCTTAGCACTCACCAGATACCAGATATTGATCAGATTCATTTATATAGCTTGCTTAATTTATTTAGGTTACACACACACACACACACACACACACACACACACACACACACACACACACACACACGACTTGCCATTCCTGCAAGTGCTGTAATACCAAGTTAATGTGTAGCTGCAAAAATCCATTCAATTCTTAGATAGAGGACATATCAGATACTGAAGCGATAAGAACAAATACTACACTTGATCTTAGCCAAGAAGTCCTAGAGGCTGGATAGAGCAGTTGATTTTTGCAATAGCTTTCTGATGTAGTTTTCTCACTTGGCCACTGATGAGAAAAACGAGGCCAGTGAGGTTATTTCACCTACTCAAAGGTCACCCAGCTCATACATGGCCAGTTGGGACTTGGGCTGCCCTTAGTGCTATGCTTCCAGCTCCATCTAGAAGTCATGGCTAGGCCTCCTCTTCCGCCCTGGCCTTCCCACTCACCACACTACTCAGAGCAACTGTTGAGATGACCACATTCCTTGGACAAACTGATAATGAGCACCTGCTTGCCCTCCATCCATTTTACCATCTCCTCTCTGTAGAGCTCTAGAATGTTCCTCACAACAGGACTTTCTGTAGCGAACCAATTGCAGAACTCCTCTCTGGACCTCTCCCTGACAGCATGTCCGCTGTGGGTGTTTTCTGTCCAGTACAGTCACTGGCATGGGAGCTCTGCCAAGATGCCAGGGTACTTAACAAGATGAGAAAAATGGCATCGGTGTTTAGAAAGTTGGTGATGCAAACGAGAAAGTCAAGTAAGAGGCTCACTAATCATTGGCAGGAGTCTCTCCATGAGTATAATTTCTGTCTATGACAATTCGTTAGTTTACTTGAGCTCTAGTAGGGTTGGGCTATATCCTTGTACTTGTAACCCTTCACTCCAGAGCTGGTACGTGAGATGGAACTCATCTTCCTAGTCATGGTGG